CGGGGCCCATCCTCTGCGGCAGGGCGCGGTCCCTCTCGTACATGGCCTTGGCGATGCCCAGGATGAAGCTGCACAGCGCAAGGGGCGGCCCGGAGTGATGCAGGGCGAACGTCACGACGGCAACGCCCAGGATCAGCACCATGGACAAGTCGTCGGCGCGGTCGATGCGGGACACGCGCAGCGATCCGATGGCGGCGGCCGCCCGCCTGTACCCGATCTGCTGGCCGTGCGCGAGCCGGCGCAGGTCCTGGTTGCCGACGAGAAGCGACGCGCAGGCGATGAATGCGTCCTTGAGCAGCGGCATGCCGGCGGCGAGATGGGTCGCAAAGGCCTGCAGGTGCTGGTCGCGGAAGCTGGGCCCGATGAGGTACTTGTCCACCTCGATCTGCTTGTGCAGCATGACGTCGAGGAAGTGCATCTCGAGGCGGCTGAGCTCGGGGAACTGGGGGACGTGCCGGATCTGGACATGCTGCCGGGCCGTGATGCCATTACCAACGACGAGGGCCTCCTGAGGAGCCGTCTCGTCGTCGGGGACCTGGCCTGTGGCCGCCAAGGGGGCCTGCCTTGGTGGTGGCGGTCGTCGTCGTGGTGGTGGCGGCGGCGAGGGCGCCGAGGACGGCGACAAAGGCGACAACGGCGACAACGACGACAACTCGGCAGACGACGGCGTACGCGGGCGTCCCGGCAGGCTCGTGCGGCGCAGCGACATGCGGTTGCCCGCGGCGAGACGCGGCCTCCTGCCGGCCCTGGCGACGGGGCGGTTCGTCTTACACTGGAACTGCAGTCGGCTACAGCGCTCGCACTCGTGGGCGTCGACGTCGGCCCAGCGGCACCGCTCCTTGAGGGAGTGGCAGCGGTCGCACGGCCTCTTGCGCGCGGCCTGCGAGACGCACGATGCCGGCGACAAGCTCATGATGCCGTGGACGCAGCAAGGTGAGGTGCGTGCAGTGGGAGATTGAATGCGAATGCGGGGATGGCCGGGAGTCGGGACGTCCCAAGTCGGACGCCAAATTCGTACCTAGGTAGGCTTTGTTGGAGACGATAACCGCTATTAACCACCCGGTAGGTACGTTTAGTGGATTATTATGGGGCCAGCAGGTCGCTGGTCGCCCGCCCACGATTCCACTTTGAGCCCGGGTGAAGGGAACTCAGTGCACGTAGCATCAAAATTGGGCGGGAAAGGTCGACTTGGTCGGAGCGCCTACATATGGACTTAGCTTGATACCGAAGACGTCGTGCCGTTTGGGTCGACCGCTTTGACCGGCCTGAGAGCACCCCGTCTCCAATTCCATTTCACAAGGAGGGCGGCCTGCCTTATCGCCAGGACTTCATGTCCCTGTGCCGCGACCCTGTCGGCGATACTCGTTACATATCCTTCGTCCGATGATGCACGTGCCAGAGGTCACGGGCTGGCGATTTGTCTCCTTGAGTCAAAAACACAAGGCCAAGTACAAGTATATGCTGGATTTTGTTTTTGATTTACGTAAATCGTACACGTAACTCCTGAAGTCGTGCTGCGAGTTCTTCACGGCTGAAAATGCTGGTGTCCATGTGTACCCCCTGTCTGTCCCCCGCCAGCCAGTGCATGTATATATGCGTCCGTAGTTCTATATCATGGAGATATCTTCAAGTCTCATCCTGCATCCTTCCTGTCAAAAAGCGGTCCCATTTCGGGCCTCAACATCAAACATGAAGTCGTTGATAACCCAACTTTTCTTGTCACTCATCCTGGTCAATTCTCACACAGACGCCAAAGCGTTTGACACGCTTGAAGAGGCCCTTGCCGTGGCCAACGATTCAAATCGAATGATTCCTGGCGACGGAGTATTACACCTCCCCTGACAATGGAAATGTAATTTCAGTGCTGCTAGAGCTAGTTCTAACATCTCAGTGTCACCTAGGCGTATGTTCTTTCAACGCAACATTAGCGTACACGTTTCTTGCGAGATACAAAACTTGTAGGAGGGTGAAGCACGCGAATTGTCCTATCGGAACGGTACGGACCGACTCCCATATCCAGCCCCTTTTGGCCAAGTTCAGGCCCTCATGGTAACGTCTGGTGTCTAGTGTATGCTGGGCAAGTGCTACGTGATGGGGTGGCGACAGGCTCAAAACGGCAATCCGCAGACGGTGGACGAGGTGATATGCTCTTGAAAGGCTTTTGCAGGCAAAGAGAGGTATAACGGTTTATATTTGCAATCGATGCACTGCAGAGCGTTGTGGGGACCTGTGTCTTCCTTGTTTGCGTCTAAACCCACAGGCATGCATAGATGCGAGGAAAAGCAGCTACATGTAGTGGAGGCGACAGAATATGAATCATCACAACATTTGATGGCCGATGTTGCATGAGGGGAAGGTGCTAGCAGACATTGACATCGAAGACGAGATACTCGCACCATTGGAGATATGAGCTTCCAAGCTCACGACTCTGAGGATAGTAAATGGCAAATTGCATGCACATGTATCTAGCCGACGCATTCAACGCTCAAATGTCCGGGAACCGCAATCTACCTATGATACAATTCAACGCCGTACCGAATAACCCAGCAGTAATGTCAGCATGCCTCCATCTCGTGTCTGCTCTGCGTCAACCTGGGCACCCGGTCCCATCAGTACCCCGCCCGCGCCAGCCTCTCCTTCTCGTCCAGGAGCGTCTCGTCCTCACGCTCGCGGTGCTCGACCTGGACGCGCGTCTCGGGCTTCTCGTCGAGGACGGTGTCGCCGGGCGTGGCCATGCGTCCGACCTCCTGGACGACGGTGCGGTCAAAGTCCTGGCGGCCCTCGATGGCGCGCAGGACCTCGAACAGGGGGCGGGCCTTGGCGGGCCAGGCGACGTCGCCGCGGAGGATCTTCTTGGCCGTGATGCCGCGCTCGTTGTAGAAGACGCTGTTGGCGTCGGCGCGGCTCACGATGATGGTGCCGTCGATCTGCACGCCGGCCCACAGCCCGCGGCTCTTCATGTAGCTCCACATGGGGCGCACCGTCTTGGAGAGCGCGGCGTCGACGCTGCCGCCCGTGCCCACGGGGCCGACGGCGATGGACGCCTCGCCGCCGAGCGACACGCGCGGGTTGGTGAAGGCGCCGACCTGCTCCGGCGTGTTGAGCACGCACACGCAGTCGTAGACGTCGAGGCCCAGCATGAAGCCCGCGCCGACGGTCGAGACGACAAACGACGACGGCGGCGACCAGGTGCCGTCGGCGCGGCGGGCCACGACGACGCCCGAGCCGGCGGCCAGGGAGCCGTGGAAGGCGCCCGCGCGGATGACGTTGAAGATGGCCAGGCCGGCGCACTCGCGGAGCACGGCGTCGGGGATCTTGACCATGGACTTCTTGGTGATGCCGGTGGGATGCATCGGGCCGTCGGTGTTGGGGGGCTGGGGGGGGCCTAGACCTGGGGCGTGTCAGTCAGGCACCGGACTGGACTGGACCTCGACATGTACAACAGAAGAGATGCGAGTCGAGTCGAAAACAAGGCAGCTAGCTAGATACTCACTGGTAAAGGAGTGGAGGATGCGCGCGGCCTTGCTGCACTCCTTCTCCACGCTCGTGGGCCACCAGCCCTCGGCGCCGATGACGTTGGCGGCCTTGTTGAGCGGCCAGCCGGCCTTGCTCGTGATGCTGTGGAACTTGCGGTTGAAGGCCGAGGGCTGCTTCGTGGGCGGCGCGGCGTTGCTCATGCCGGCCTGGGTGTTGGCGTCAAAGGTCGAGCTGGGCGTGAGGCCGGGCGACGGCGTGTAAGCCGGGGGCTGCTGCTGCTGCTGCTGCTGCTGCTGCGGCTGCGCGGCATGCTCGCCGTAGACGGGATAGGCGGTCATTGTGTTTGTGTATTCGGTGTGCGCGGCGAATGTTACCGGGCAGGAAAAAATTGCAGTAGGTACCTAGGTGGGTTTTTGGTTGACTGATGGTATGTGTAGGTGTAACTGTCGCGATGTGTAAGTGCTGTGATGGCGGCTGTTGTTGTCTGGATGTCCGGGTGCTTGAGCTGCTGTTCCATCTCCAACGACGACTCGACACCCAGCACCTTATATCCTCAACTCCCTCGCAGACACGCCGCTCCATCCCGCGGCGCGCTCGGCTCTCGCCCGCGATGCGCGTCCTGGTGCAGGCGCAGGTACGTAGAGGCGGCATTCCGTCGTCAGCGGAGCCTGAAGCGGCAGAGTGCGTTCGCGGCCGCCGTGGCGCAGGCGGGCAAACCTGTGCTGCACGAATACCAAGGTACCAGGGCTGTCACCTGCCAGTCGCCCTGGAGGCATGTACCTCACCGTTCCGTGGCCGCCGCGTGGTGCTGCAAGTCCAGGGGTCCCGTCGGCCACTGAAACCTTACCCACGGGGGGGGCTCGTCAGGCGCCTGTGCGAAAGCGAGCGAGCTGGCGAATGCGAAGCTCGCCTCGCGACGCCACGCGAAGGCCGAGGGCGAGCTTGGCGCCGTCCCGGTTATGTAATCGCCTGCCATCGCCTGCGAAACGCGCAATCCACCCCTCCAACACAGCGCCCACGGCAGCAGTTTGTCCGCATGCCTGTCGCTCCGCTGCCTGACGGAGGGTCACCGGGGTCACAAATAACCTTATCCCCGTGCGTCACGATCGTGGCTCGGCAACGGCAAACGACACAGGCACGCAGTCTTTCGCTCGTGATGCTTCGTTGAATCTAATTTCAGGCTTTGTGGCGCCCACTCTGAGAGTCTGCACTGTAACTGCCTGCCAAAGCCCCTCTGAAGCGATGCATGAAACCTTCAATTCTGACATGAGTCAATCCGTGTCAGAGGGGACAGGGTGCCCATCATAGACGCAAGGGTCATGCCAAAACACCCCAACTTATCACGACGGATATTAATGACGACCACGTCGGCAACGTCGACTTCTCCTGCAAGGTCTCTCCAAGTCCTGCATCACCGTACGAAGTAGTTAGTGTTCTCGTGGTGGGGGGGCGTGATAGTTCATTGCTCGAGCCCCACCATAGCCACATAAGAAGAAATAACCCCTCTATCCACAACGAACAAAGTCTTCGTGGCTCAGTTGGTTAGAGCGTTGGTCTCAGTAAGACTCACCACAGTCATTCGAAGCCCACCAACATTCACTAACATCGTCTCCCCAGTATGTGTATACATGTGATCAGATTTACTCTGAGCCATCCAAAGGTCGTGAGTTCGAGTCTCACCGAGGACATTCTTTTTTTTTTCTTTTGGTGATCACTGCTGTGTATCATGGTACCACCCGTGTGCTTCATGGTGCATAGTTGTCGTCCATTTTTTGTTGTATATTCGTTTTTTTTCCCTTGGTACATAGCCATCCATTATTATTTGGCACGTGAGTGATATGGCTGCCGAGAACGCATCTGCGTGAGTTCATTTCGGCTCAATGGATTACGACCGCCGTCGGACTGAACGATCATGACACTATGCATGAGCGATCCCCTGTCCCCAACACTCTAACTTTTCGCAAACAGTGACTTTCTGTCCCATCCTGGGTCGCCTGCCATGCGCATGCCACATGCGGCTTGCTTACTTCAGTTGAAGTCCTCGTTGTGCCGGTGTGGTCCCTGCCAAGATTTGGTGCCACATCCGAAGTACACGTAACGTAGATGAAGGTCCGATTCCGTGGGTGGCACGACCATGATAAAGTTAGAGGTGTCTCCTCAAGGATCAGAGGAAAGCGTTCGTTACATGTCTTATAGTATGCTTTCTCCGCTATGCCTGGGAGCGCGAGGGGCGGGCCGACATGTTGAGCGTAATAGCAGAGGCTTATACCTGTGCGCTCTTCTCTATGAGTCGAGTCCGGCATAACAATGTGACTTTGCGGCATTATGGTAAACGGTGCCATCGATCCACATCCACGATGCCAATCTCCAATCTCCAATCTCCAATCTCGAGACCGTTATAATCCGACCAAGACATGGGTTTCCTCTATAAAGAGACGCTCGCGACTCAATTGGCACGCGCACCATCCAACACAAGCATCTCTCAATACTTGGACGCAGAACAGCATCGACAACCTGTCATCATCTTCAGCAATGTACGCCCTTGCCCTCCTTGGAATTGCAGCGCTCGCGGCCGCTTTGCCTCACGAGCACCTTGGCCGGGAGCTCGGGGTAACCGCTCCGCGCCTTGTGCGGGAGGCAAAAGTGCCCTGGCACGAGCCCGATGAACACTGCGAAGGACAGGACAAATATTCGGACAAGTGTCGAGGAACGCTGAAGATGTGCGATTCGCTCTCCGAGGCACAGGCGGCCGTTTGCTTCGCCCGCCACCTGCCCAACCCTTCGCCCAAGCCCTGGCACTGCCCCGAGACGTGCGAGGGCCAGGAAGGCGAGGCCTGTCTCGGAACGCGCTTCATCTGCCACTACGGACACGTGGCCGAGGGCTACAACACTAGAGCGGCCTGCTACGCGGATCGGGAGAAGCAAAGGCCTGACTGCGTCGGCTCTGGGACGTCGCGGCTGCAGGGCCGGGACGTGGATAGAAGAGTGGTCAGCGAGAAGTTCAAGTATCGATACCCGCCCAAGAATTTTGGTCATCGTTTACGTTAAGAGCCTTGGGGAGGAAAGGAGAGAGGGCGACGGGCGCGCATCGCGGGCCATTCGGGACACAGATCCTGGGTCCTTCCTGGGGGGGTGTATCTTGCTGGCGGGGATCATGTGGCATTTCCTTGCGCGAGAAAGCTGAGCGATGGCAACGGGCGGGCAGTCAAGCTGCCGGGAGGGCTGCCCTGCAGTGCATACTTTATGACGGAGGATTGCCTGTAGGAAAGTCCGCATCCTGAGTCTCCCCGGCACCTGCTGTAGCAACTCCCTCTCGTGAATGAGAATATTGACACAGATATAACAAATCGGACCCCGATCTCGTTTTCAGGCAATACGTTTGGAATGTCGAGTTGTGAGGCGGGCTTTGCTACTACGTGCGCAGCGCGGAGTCGAGGCCGTCTTCAAGTGTCGTGTATGACGTGACAGATCCCAGCCCGAGCCTTGGGGTATGGAAGGCAATTGAGTGACAACACAGCCCATGTATAGACGTACGGAACGAAACCAACGGGAGCGGGCCATTGAGTTTTTGGAGGGCGGAGGTGGACTGCACATTTTATGGCCTGATCCGTGTAAGTGGCCGCCATGCCCGTTGTTGAGACCGGAGCCTTCCCTCCCATCCATCGTCTGCGTCACCGCCACGCCGCCAGGCTCCATCCCAGACAGCTTGCTTGTTCGGGGCCCGACACCAGCACCTCTTGCTCGTCCATCTCTTCATCTCTCCATCTCTCCATCTCTCCATACGCACACGCTCATGCACATGCCGTCGTATTGCACGGCCCGCATCCCCGTCTCCCTCCAAGCCGTGCCGTCTCATCCAGAGCTCCCCGCGTTCCGTTCAAGCCCCGGCAGATAAGGCAGCTTTTAGCTACCTTAGCTACCTAGCGACCTGCCGAGCTGCGCGCCGTGGTGCCAACGATAGCTGCAAGCTCCACAGGACCACAGCACACGCTGCAGCACCGCCATGCCCGCCGCTACGCAGGACCACCAGCAGGACGACGGCGACGACGGCAACCGTCCGAAACGCACCCGCGACGGCTCGCCCGCCTCCAGGTCCACCGCCACCGTCGTCGGTGATCACGTCGCGGGCGTCTACGCGCTCACCCGGCGCTCTCTCGACCGCGTCGTGGCCCCTTCGTCGCGCCGCCGCGCCTACGACGCGGCTTCGGCGTTTGCCTCGTCGCGACCCATCCTCTTCGTAAGACGACCCCCTAGCTTCCCCCCCGGGGTCCCCCTTTCCATGCATACGCATCTCGAGCACGCGTCCGACGAATGAGATAAGCTGACGCCTTGACAGTCGTTGCTGCTCGCGCAGGCCCTCCTCTCGTCCGTGCCACTCGTGCTTTTCGCCTTCTTCTGCGCTTCGACGGCCTGCCTCGCCCTCGCTGCGGGCCTCGCCTTCACCTTCTTCTGGGTCGGCGTCGCCTTGCTTGTCCTGGTGCCGACGCTGCTCCTCACATCGTCCGTTGCCGCTTTACTGTGGGCGTGGGCGCTCGGGGCGTTCCTAGTCGCCCGATGGCTGTACGGCCACGCACCTACGACTGTGACGGGAGTACAGGTCCACGCGACGGGCAAGAACATCGCCGCCAAGGACGACAATGGCCATGGCGTCCATGTCAAGGAGGAGCAAGATTGATCGGATGCGTTCACGAGTAATGACACGAAACCAGCCGCAGTGATTGACGGCGTAACGCCGCAATCTATTTGATTCTAGTGATAATACATCTCATTATTTGCTGTGCCGCCGCTCCTCCCATGATGATCGTCCCGCCTACTGTACACTACAGATACAGACCCTCTGGCTCGCCCTCCTGCTTGGTCCGCAGCACACGCTCTCTGGCAGACCTAAAGTCGGCCATCTGCACGCGCATGCGGCGCTCACGTAGTGCAAGCATGCCCGCCTCGGAGCAAATGGCCTTGATGTCGGCGCCCGACAGGTCGTCCTTCTGCGAGATGAACTCCTCCAAGTCCACGTCCTCGCTGAGGTTCATCTTGGACGTGTGGAGGTTGAAGATCTTGCGCTTGGTGTTTTGATCGGGGTTTTCGAAGAGGATCTTTCGGTCGATTCGGCCGGGTCGGATCAGGGCTGGGTCGAGGGTGTCGATCTTGTTGGTGGCCATGATGACCTTGACGTCGCCGCGGTCGTCGAAGCCGTCAAGTTGGTTGAGAAGCTCCAGCATGGTGCGCTGTACCTCGCGTTCACCGCCAGACGTCGAATCGTAGCGCTTGGTGCCGATGGCGTCGATTTCATCGATGAAGACGATGGATGGTGCGTTTTCGCCGGCAACCTAAACTGTCAGTTTGGTCTTCGCGTTGTATGGAACATATTCAACATACCTGGAAGAGTTGTCGGACCAGGCGAGGCCCATCGCCTAGGTATTTTTGAATCAACTCGCTGCCGACGATTCGCAGGAACGTCGCCGAGGTCTGGTTCGCGACGGCCTTGGCCAAGAGCGTCTTTCCGGTACCGGGAGCACCATAAAGAATGACGCCCTTGGGCGGCTTGATGCCCATCTCCTCGTACAACTCTGGGTGCAGCAGGGGCAGCTCGACCGACTCCCGAACCTCCTGGATCTGCTGCTCCAGGCCGCCAATATCCGCGTACGACTCGGTAGGGGCTTTATCGAGCTTCATGACGCTGACAATCGGATCCGTGTCGTCGGTGAGGACTCCAACAATGCTCACGCTCTTGTGGTGGAGGAGTACGCTCGCACCGGGCTCCAGCAGGTCCTTGTCGACGAAGCTCATGATGCTGACGTAGTACTCGGGGCCCGTGGTGCTGCTCACGATGGCGTGGTCGTCATCGATAAGCTCCTCGAGCGTTCCCACACCCATGGGGCTGCCGCGCATGTCGTCGACACGGCCGCGCTCATCGGCTAACCGGTCGACGTCAGCGTCGGGGCCGGCGATCTGGCCCTCCTTGGCAGCCTTGGCCTTGCGCAGGCGCTCCTGGTTCTCGACATATTCTTCCTCGAGCAGAAGGTGGTCGTGGATCCTCTGCATCCGCAGGAGGCGGAGCTTGCATCGGCTCGTGGGATAGACGGCGGGGAGCTTGGCCGCCGCGCTGGTGCCGCCGGCCTTTCTCTTCTTTCGGCCAACCCGCGTCGTCGGTCGAGGGGGCGGCTCGTACTTGGGCTTGTCCTTCTACGCTATGTTAGACGAGACGCACCCTAGAGGCAGGCGCACATACCTTCTTGTCCTTGTCATCGCGGCCGTCGCCGCCGCCCATGCCAGACTGGCCTTGACCCTGCTACGGTCAGCTTCGTCACGTATGGGTAGTTACAATCAGAAACATACCATCTTGGCGTCAAGCTCGGAGAGCTCGTTCAATCAATCAAAAAGCTTGTGGTGATGATGTACAGCTTGCGTGCAACTCGGCAACTGATTCGGGGTTGTATTGACGGATGCCGAGCTGTTGTGACGAGTCTGGGCTGCTGGTTGATGATGAATCGCCGCCTGCGATCAGGCGCCAGGGAACACGCAGCTCTGGGTCACGTGGTTCTGTCACGTGACTCGCAGTACCTCACATCTCCCTGCTTGAGAGTACATGGCATAGACACCGAGAGGAAATCATGAAAACAATGTACGCGTAATTGACCGCATGGTGGTGTTGATCATGTTCTTTTTCTTGTTCTACAAGATGGCTGCC